CCTTCTTCAGTTCTTTAGCTTTGTTCTCTAACAAATGCACAGCTTTTCCTTCCTTTCAGAAACCCACCGCGGCTCTAGAAAACCGTATCTCTTCTTCCACTTCCTGTACCCCTGAGAGCTCACTCCTTTTGCCATTAAGACACTATACCCACAGTTCATTTTCTAGGGGTCTGATCACCTGAACCTTTAACAAAATGTTTCTAATGGGTGGAGGGTGGGGTGAAAGAGGTGGAGGGTGGTTGACTGGCTCTATCTATCATATTTGTGACATTTTTTAAAAAAAGGTTTAAAAATAATTCTGCTCCAAAGCCCCATTTAAGCTATGATATAAGAACAACTGTAAATATGTGAAACTGTGAAATAAATGCACCATATTGACTACCCACCAGATCAAGTGGTCCTCTACAGAATGTGCTCTAAGGTCCCACTCTAAGGTCTCAGAAGTACATGGTAGTGGAAAATCAGGGGCCCACCTATTCTACCCTCATGGTCCTCCTGCCTAGATAGCACACAAATACACCTCTCTATCTATCTATCTGTCTATCTATCTATCTATCTCAATTATTTCTTACACAAGAAATGGTAAGATCTGATGACACACCAGGAGTTTTTCTTTTATGTCACAGCATAGTGACACTTGGATTGCTATTAAGCCTGTGGGCCTGGCAATGCTGAAAGGTCCAACCTTCAAAAAATACCACAGATTCTCTTTTAAGCCTTCTTTATTATTTGGCAATTCTCTTATGTTTTTGTTGAATGATAGTTTGGCTTGAGAATATGCCTTAGGTTTTTTTATCACTCTGTGCTTACATAGTTCTCAGTAAAAGCTCTTAATTTTCTAGATCTGTCCACATATACTATCCTTCCAGAGCACTTTGTACAAAGTATTTATTTCTTGGGTGAAAATATCAAGACTCATCTCATCAAATTTTCAAGGACATGAAACTAGGTGAGGTCAGGAATATTCTAAGTCACGAAAATAAACATTTTCATTACCCTGATATTGAGAATAGCAAAAGTCTCAACATAGGTTGTTGGATAGACAAAGGAGGCATTTACTAACAAGTAAATGACAGCAGGTTGGTTTCAAATGAAAGTGAGGGAGAAATGGAAAATGACCGTAATGGAAAAGAGCCTGAGATTACAGTAGACCACAAGCTGATGATGAACAGGCAACTCGGGAAGAGTTAACTGTAAAAGGAAAGCTCTGTGTGGGCTTTCTGGGCCAGGCAAACGTAGTGGCTTGCAGGTATTGGTGACTGGCATCCAGGATGGAGATGAGATCCTTCCTCAATGGCGTGCACCATTTTACAATATGCAGAGCAGCTCGGCCTTGCTTCTGGCCCACAGTGGCTCACCTGTCCACAACATGTTCACTGCCAAAGAGTCTTGCTTCTTAAAACATTCACATTTTAAAAAATTAACTCAAAAAGCAGGGAATTACACTTAATACATGATCAAGGTAATTTACACGTTATACCCATGACTTAGAAAATTTTCAGTATTTGTTTCACCTATTTTTAGTTTTAATACACATTAAATTACATATAATTGCCAACATTTTTTAAAAATTTAGGTATATAACAGAGTACGTTTGTGTTGAAAATCAGAAAGTCCAATTTTGGTTCACATTTTTAAGAAGAATGTACAGAAATGGAAAAAAGAGAGAAATGGAAGAAATTATTAAACTCATGGAAAACAAGTCCAATAAGAAGGAGCTTTTGCACCTTGACAAAAATGTCTGAGTGAGTCTGTCATTGTTAGGTTAAAGAAGGGTTTTGTACAAGGTACGTGCTGTCCCACTAATCATCTGAATCAGTGAACTGAATAAAAGCAGATATGCATAGATGAACTTGAGGTAGAATATTGTTGCTTAGAGAGAAGGAAATGTGCAAGTTGAATAAAGAAATACTCAGATTCTTTGCCAGGAAGTTTCCCATGGGAATAAAGAGTTGGCTCTCCCTGTTGATCTTGCCATCCTCCTGCCTCAGAGCAGTTGCCTCTATGCCACCAGGTAATCCTGGAAGGCTGTAGATGCAGGAGATGCCTGTGTCTACAGAAAAATCAAAGCATCCTACAAAGTATTGCTAACATAAAAGCAAATGCCTCTTTGCCCAAGATGTTGAATTTTAAAATCATTGTTTCTTTTTGGGAACTCAAAGTGGAGTCACGGAACTTGCAGCTTTGAGTGACTTGGATGTGCTGCAGGCCTTGACCACCTCATCCCACTTATAATCATGCCTTTCCAGAGATTAAAGGAAAAGCAATTCCATTTGGAAAACTGGAAAAGGGAACAGGACACACAAGTGAATGAGTGTCTCCAGGTTCATCTAGTTGTGGTCTTTGAGGACATAAAACAAGAAAACCATCTATTTTTTTATGTGGAGCCCAATCACCAAAAGGTCTCAGGGCGGTGGATGGTCCACATCCCAAGTTCATGGCATGCTTCTTAATTAAGGACAAGTGAGTTTGCTGATGAAGATCCTCAAGGAATGGAGTTTCATATTTCACCACCTGAATTTCCATTTTCATCCAGAGGTTTCTCTTCTTACCCACTACAGAAACTTGGCTAACATTCTTTGAATCGAGTTACCTTTTACCTCTTTTCTATATATTATTCAGGAAGAGAAAAGATAATGCAGGAGGTCCGAGACTCCTGTCCTTAGCCTGTTTTCAAGGCTGGTCCCTGGCCAGCATCAGGGAACTTGGATTTGGGGTGCATTCCCTAGTAGTGGCTTCGTGTGCCATTGCTTGGGTGAACAGGGTGGTTTATGCTGCACACCTGATTTCTCCAGGGAGTCTGGAGTTTGGGTACATGGTAGGCAGAGGGTGCCAAGGTGATGGGGCCTCGACGACCATCTTGGGCACTGAGTCTCTAGTGAGCTTCTTGGCCTATCACAATTCAATGCTGGAGGAATTAAGCAGTTCCTGGGGGACCGCACGAGAGGACTCTTGGAAGCCTATGCCTGATCTCCTTGGAGCCTCTTTCCCCAGGCTCATTTTCCCTTCACTACTTTTATTTTCGATCACTCTGTTGTAAGAAATCATCCCCCGACACTTGACAATGCTGAGTCCTCGAGTCCTGCTAGTGAAGCTTCCAACCCGGGGATGTTCCCAGGGACTGGGACACACGTGCTTTGGAGCCATGGTCCCCCAGTTTGGCTGGTCAGAAGACTCACTGGTGCAGCTTTGTAGGCAAAAGCTCCCAGAGGCTCCCCAAGACCTGTGGACTCAGGTCCTGTATTTTTCAAAGCTCTCCAGATGTTTCTGCTAGGAAGCCAGATGGGAGGCCAGATGCCAAATACCTTGGTAGAAAAGAAGAAGCCTCATGAAACGATGTTTTCAGCGGGAAAAGATAATACAGTATGTCTGCCACATGGAAGAAAAGAATCCAATTGAATATGATTATTGAATATGAATAATGTATAGAGCAGACAGAAAGCAAAATTTTTCCTTTGTCTCATTGAATCTTCCATGTTAGTGCCGAGACGGAACAGGAAAATGTCTATTTCTGATACGGCTGCAACATGACAAAAGGCATCAGGTGATAAATGTGGGATTGGAGAGTGAGGCAGAGTCTGGGCAGCAGCTCTTCCAGTGTTTGAGATGCTAAACCTCGACAGTCAGGCCAACAGAGTGAAACCTCTCAGAGGCAAACAAAAAATCAGATTCCCCGAAACCAGAGTTCTGCTGCTTCAGGCGGGGGGGTGGGGGTGGGGGGTTACAGCTGGCTTGAACCATGCTTCCTAGGTCCCGGGTTCAACTCCAGCATCTCAATAAGACCGCTCAAAACAACAAAGGGAAGGGCTTGGCTTGAGACTGAGATCATCAGAGTGACATAAAAGGGACTCTCTACATCAGGTGACTTTCTCATTCTTGCGACTTCTTTCCAACTGACCCACCAGTTTATTCTGCATCTGAACCAAAGTCGAAAGGCTTTTGAATCTAGATTGCAGTGTGCATGTTACCTCGGGGGGCAAGACACTTGTTTAATTTCCAAATATTAGAAATCTTAAAGCTAGCTTTTAAGGTGAACCCTTTGATGGACAAATTTAACAAACAAATCAATGTGGATGAAATACAGAAATGCGGCGTGACTGATGGATTCAGAGTGGGTGGGTTTCCAGGAGAGATTTCTTTTGAGAGGAAGTAGGCAAATACATCCCTGATGGATTTTGCTTTTTCCATAACAAGTTATTGAACCAATTCACCAAAATATGTCTTGAAGAATCAAAAAGCTCTCATTCATAAATCAAATCCTATCTATGGAACAAAACAAAGGGAATGGGAGAGGATGACAGTAGAAAGTGATAAACACAAATATCACCAATAAAAGTTAGACGCAGAAGCCATGGCATTTGAAGCCACAAACCTTAGGATGCAATAATAAAGTGAATTTTCAGAATGTAAAGAAGTCCCCAGAGAAATTAGCCATTTAAAAGAATATGAGATGTACCTTTTCTGGGTTTGTATATTGCTCCCATCCTAACAAAACATTCTAATCCATTTCACAGTGGGATTCAAAGGCAAATTCTCAACAAGGGAAATAGAACTTTGTTTTTTATCTACTCCTACAGTAATTTAATATAATTTATCAAGTTATTTCTTTTCCACAAAGAATTCAGTTGCATACCCTTTCACATTTATCCCAAAAGACTAATCCAGTTTAATTTAGTAGAGGAGCCCAGAAATGAGAGTCAGGAGACCTGGACTGTGCCATTAACTTAATCTCTATTTGCCTAAGTTTCCTAATATGTCAGATGGAACAAAAATATTTGTGTTTCCTACCTCACAGGTTTGTGGTAGGGCTGAAAATGAGATTATAAAAAATAAAGTATTTCGGAAATATTTGATGTAAGTCACACAAACGCATCCTGATTAGTTTGATACATGATTATACCTATATTACATGTCCCTAGAAAATGAGAAGTGGGAGGTAGCTGGGACAGCAGGAAATCCAACCAGCTCATGTGGCATATTGGTAGACAAGGGCCAGAGGCATCACAAGGTGAAACTCAGGGCACATGCAGCACTGGAAGCCCTATCCCAAGCCAGCACATTCTTCGCCGATCCTGTCACCTCCCCAGATGGTGCCACACGGGAAGCTGGTGCTCTGCCCCTGCAGAAGCAACAAGATGACAGCGTCTCAAAAGAACAGAAGGCCATGATCCCACGGAGATTTAACAGCATTACCTGCAGCCTTGGCGACCTTGCTCAATCTGCCAGGACTGTGTTATCCCCAGAAATGTAAGCCAGAGGTATTGCTGGAATCTTTGCTAGATCATTCTTCCTCAAAAAGGCCTTTAAAAGTCACTTTTAGCCTAGAGGACACAATTTTTCACCCCTTTGCTCTGAAAGTTCCTACAGGGGAGGTGACAAAAGTTGGCATAGAAAGAGAGACAGGGAGGGGGAGAGAGAGAGAGAGAGAGGGAGAGAAGGAAAAGAGGGAGGAAGGGAGGGAGAGAGGAAGGGAGAAAAGAAGGAAGAAAGACTTTGACCTGGCTAGCGGCTCTAAGAACATCCTGTTTCATTTCCGCCAAGGTGAAAGACCTCAGAACACCATCCCTCTCAGCACCACACAGTTGATTGTTTTAAAAACAGTTTTATATGTACACACAATGCCATCCCTGGCCATGAATTGTTTGCATTTTGAGAGAAAAGTTGTGTGTTCTGACACTATAAATGGTGGTAAAGGTATTTCAAATTATCTCCCATTTGCTTACCGTATTAACCCAGAGAGTACATAAAGGGCAATAAAGTTATATCTTTATCAGAAAAGCACACTGTGCTTCGGTAGCATCGAGCTCTCACACGCTGTCATCTGCTCAAAGTTTTATAATGCTTTCCAAATAGAACACAGGCATAAAATAACTTTTATGCAGTTTTCTGGGGGAAATATTAAGAATAATCACCACGATGCAGTCAGTCCATCAGTGGTTTTTCTCATTTTGCTTTTTCCCAGGTATTTCAGATAGACCTGATGTTACGAGTCGTATAAAAGAGGTAGCCCGTGGTACAAGATGCTAGTCAATAGCTACAATTTATTAAGTGCCAACCACACACCAGCTACCTCACCACCCTACATCTGTATAAGGTAAGTTTATATAGAAGCCTCCTTGCAGATGAGGGAACTGGTTCACTGAGATCAAGTGGCTGGCTCAAGGTTGGACCATTGGGAAGTGGCAGAGCTGAAATTGGAACCTAGGTCTATGTGGCCTCCAGACCCATGCTCAGCCTCTACAACCTTCTGCCTCATTCTTAACAAGTTGGTAGAAGTCTCCAGAATCTAAGTTAGACAATTAATAGGAATGAAAGAAAAGCAAACAATAATAAGCACATGTCTCTGTTACCTTCCTGCTTTAGAAACGTGCACTGAGCTTTTCATTTGCAAAGCCACAAACTCAAAGGGCTGAGAAGCAAATTAACTGAGCCTGGAGGAGTTCGTGGAGTTCACTGGAGCAGTTAGGAGCTAAGCTTTGGCCTGAGTTCACCTGGGGTGAAGCCCTGGCTCAGTCTGTTACTGCTTAATCGTGTGACCTGATTTCACCTCTTTGAACCTTATTTCTTTTTCTCTAAAACTAGAAAAACATCTTCATAGGCTGCAACGATTCACCTAGTGTAGTGCACACAGCAATTCCGTGTGTGAAACACCTAACAGAATTCCCAGCTTATTGTCACATGCTCAATAAACATTATCTCTTTTTTATTGGAACTTTTGCTGGGAGGTTGCTGTATAAAAATAAAAGACACATTATCAGTAAAACAAAACAGAACTCACAGTTTCTGGTTTAACAGGTTTTTGTTGGCACCTAATGGCTCTCCATCTCTTGATTTAAGAGAGCCTTAAAAACAAAGAGTGGGGAGCAAGCACTGCCTGGTTCCTATTCTCAAAAACAGATGCTCTCTTTCAGGCTCCACCGGCACTAAAGTCAGACAGCCCAAAATAAAACCCGTGCTTTTTCCTGCTAGTTTAAGTAGGAAATTAGTACTGCTAAGACAGCAAAGAGTTCCTAGAATTTCTAATTAATATGTCAGTCTCTAGCCTGCCCATCCCACACTTTCTAATTTTGTACAATGAAATTTTAGACCTCCTTTACCTCATTCCCAAGCTCTTCTTAAAAAAAAAAAAAGTCCTAAAAAGCGTTGTTGAAAATAAAGTTGCAGCCTGGCCTCATGCAGGGCTGAAGGGGGAACCACCTCCAGGTGGATCTTCTACCCAAGGAAACTCTCCAATCTTTAGTCTCTTCAGCTATGGCTTAACCCAGGAGAAAATGCAGGGGGCCCCTTAGGAAAAACACACCTGTATTAGTTGGTTTTTCGTTACTATAATGCAATACCTGAGGCAGGATAACTCTCTAAAGGAAGGTTCATTTAGTTCAGTTTAGGATATGAAAGTCCAAACAGTGTGGCTCTGGCTCAGTGTTGGAGGGTTGGTTTTCAGTACCTGCATGGTGGATGGCAGGGTGGGAGCCTATTCGAGAAGAGATGATATCTCAAAACAGGAAGGAGGAGAGCAATTCAGGGGTTGGGCTGGCTTGTATAACAAATTGCTGTCCTGAGCGCTGTCCATGTCCCTAGCTGTCTCCATAGATGGTGTGTGCATGTGAGTCGATTAGAGAACCTCATGGACACTTTATGAGACACACAAAGGAAAATGCTGGAATTAGATTCTTTGGTGGAGACAGACTTTGGGACCAAATACTTTTCAAGATTACAAATAATGAAGAGATACGACTACAATAAGAAAGTATCTCTTTCATAAAATCATTAATAAGATGAAAAGTACATGAAAAAAGGCCTTTACTGGTCTGTGTCCACATTTCCTCTTCTTATAAGGACACCATTCATACTGGGTCAGGGACTATCCCAATAACTTCCCTTTAATTTCATCACCGCTTCAAAGGCCTTGTCTCCAAATGCAGGCACATTCTGAGGTAGTGGCTGTTAGGACTTCAGCATATGAACGCCAGGCAGGAAACGAAGAGGGTTGGAAATGATTCACTTCAGCCCACAACACCATGGGTAGCCCTGTGGATGCTGCCACATTGCAGAAACAAAGGAAAATACCTGAGCCCTCTGCTCTTTATCTGCCATCTCATTTCTTGCCCAGTTTTTCTCCAACCATTTTAGCTCTTATCCTGTCTCTTCCAAACTAAGGGAACCCTGTGGATCGCTTCCTTTTATGCTGTCTTCCTTGGAGGACAGCTGCAGTGACGAGGGGCCCTCACTGCTGATTCCCAGCGCCCATCCGTGGTGAAGAGCCTTTGTAACACCCTTTCCCCACTTCCTTTCCAGGAACTTCCCCAGCTGCAGAGGGTCTCCCTTACAAAGATTTAAAGCCCACAGAATCCCAAAGACCTCCCGAAAGGTACTAAAATGGAATAATCTTTCACAACTGGGGCAAAGGAAAGCCATTCACAGTTTGATGGCATTTACAGGTGGACAGCACTTTCTCAGCAGACACTCAACACCTAACCCAGCCAGGGCTACTGTCCTTAAACGGCGAAGAATGGACCTTGCCAGCTCACCTCGGAACAGGGACTTGGCCAGAGGGTATGGGGAGGCATGGGGGCTTGGTTTCTGTAATGGAAAAAGGGAGATTATTTTTCCTTTTTAATTACCTTGTTATATGATAGAAGTCATAAGGTGAAAGAAAAGTATGAAAAGTTGTTTTTTTATATCCTTGACCTTCTGATAGCCTATATGTTTTAGGGACAGATAACTTCCTAATGAGACTTTTTATAATAAAGCTTTCATTGCATTGAAAAATATTAACTTTTGCAGTTCTTCCGGGTAGATCAAACGGACCCTGCAGTTATAGTTACAATATCCTAAAGATTTAGCTTCTTGGTAATAATGGGTAAGAGCCTTAGCATTGCCACGGGCCAAAACTATATTATTTGAAATGAAACCTCTCATAAATATCCAACTACGAAGTCACTATCTATCAACTGCTGTTATATAAACAGGACAGAGCAAAATCTCCCATCTGCCAATATCAGAGCTGCCACAAAGAATGATTTAGTGTCCAGTCCTCACAAATTAAACAAGCTCTTGCTCTGTCAGCCAATTCTGGGAAGCCTAGTTTGGTTTGGGTAGCCACAGTGTAGGAGGGTCCCAGTAAGGAAGCCCGATAGGGCCAGGATTCTTCACTCATTTCCCTTTTGCCAAGAGTTTGGACCTCCCTTGGCCTTGGGAGCTTTCTTCTGGGTGGTCTGGGAGTAGCACCTGGTGGACTGTTTCTTGCTTCTGCTTTACCCTGGCTTTCTCCACACCCTCGTGGCAGAATCAAGCCCTGGACTTACAGTGCCAAAAGGGGACCTCGTGTCTCCCCCAGGATCTTCCTGGTGTTGCCCTTACTCCACTCTGAGCACCAGAAAGGCTGGTGAGAGGTGGGTGGGCCACACTTGCAGGTGCTCTGCTCTCAGCCTATGCAACCACCAGCAGAATGCACGTCCAAGGGCAGGTGGGCTTACCGTCTGCCTTTCACGTCTTCTGTTACAGGGCGAACTTGACAGTCAAATATGTGTGATAAACTGAACTCAAGTCGTGATTCTTCCCCCCGTCCCCCACCAAGTCTAAGACCTTGATTTTAGAAAACAAATGCAATAGTTGTCACTTATCTATTATGTTCCAAGCCCTCCCAGGGGATGCCTGAACCCACGAGCAGTACCAAGTTTTATATGTACTATTTTCCCCTATATGTACGTATCTATGGTGAAGTTTAATGTATGAGTTAGGCACAAAAATAAAATAGAAAGATTATACAACATACTACAATAAATTGCATGTGAACGTGGTCTCTCTTTCTCCCCCAGCCCCTTTTTCTCTCTCTCCCCATTTGGTAATTTGGGCAAGCCGTTGACTGTGGGTGACTGAAACCACACAGAATGAAACCGCAGATAAAGAGGACTACTGTCATGGCAAATCAGAACCTGGAGCAGAGGGAGTACTGACTACAATCAAGGGGATCAATCTAGCCTCCTCCAAATAAAACGACTCATTAGAATAAATGTGTCATTCACCTTTGCATCACTGACAAGAACAACTTAGAGGAGGAAATATTTATTTTGGCTGTGGTCTCAGTCGTCCTGTTCATGGTCAGCTGACTACATTGGTGGGACCTGAGATAAAGCAGAACATCCTGGTGGGAGGGCAGGGCAGAGGGTAGATGCTCAGAAGCCTGGAGCTGAGAGAGAGTTCTGCTCACCAGAAACTAAATACAAACCCAAAGGCACACTTCCAGGGACCTACTTCCTCCAGCCACGCCCTACTTGCCTAGGGTTGTCACTCAGTAAGTAGTCCTTTCAAATGAGTCACTCATCAAATGAATTAATCTGCTGTTAGTTTAGCTTTTTTTGTCACTATGACCAAAAGACCTGACACGAACAGTTAAATGGAAGGAAGTTCTTTGGGGCTCACTGTTTCAGAGGTCTCAGTCTATAGATGGCCAACTCCATATCCCTGGCCCCAGGTGAGGCCAAACAACAAGGCCAAGGGCATGGTGGAGGAAAGCAGCTCAGGAAGCAAAGTGAGCTCTGCTCACCAGGGCCAAAATATAACCCCAAAGGCAAGCCCCTGTGCTCCTATCTCTTCCAGTTACCCCAGTTGCCTACAGTTGCCAGCCAGTTAATCCAAGTCAGTGGATTAATGCTCTAATTGAGTTAAGGCTCTCATAACCCAATCATTTCACCTTGAAACTTCCTTGCATTTCCTCATATATGAGCTTTTGGGGGACACCTCATATTTATTTATTTATTTATTTATTTATTTGTTTGATTATGTATTTATTTAGTTGTAGGTGGATACAATACCTTTATTTCACTTATTTATTATTATGTGGTGCTGAGGATCAAACCCAGGGCCTCATGTGTGCTTGGCAAGCGCTCTACCACTGAGCCACAACCCCAGCCCAATACCTCATATTTAAACCATAACATTTATTGGTTAGTTTACAAATCTCATAAACATTTCATCTTTGAACATTCCTGCATTAACACATGAGATTGTGGGGAGGGAAGTCATATCTAAATCATAACAATAATAGTAGCCAAGACGGACATCACTCTGGTGTCAGACCCTATCAAAAAGGTTTTTGTTACATTAACTCATAGAACCCTCATAATAACCGAAGCAATAAGAACTATTATTATCCTCATTTCAAGATGAGGAAATGGAGACCCAGAGAGGGTAAGCCACTTACCCATGTTCATGTGGCTAGTTCATGGCAGAGGTGTGATGCCAGTGGGCCATCTGGCTTCCAAATCCAGGGTGTAAATTATTTCCATGTGCATTATGTCAACTAATTTTCATCTCCCCTCCTGCCTCCCCAACTGGCAGCAAGGGAGTGGCCAGTGTGGTGGCCCCTCCCACTGGTTTGCCCTCCTTCACCTAGTTCTCTGCTAACCATTACCAAAACTTATCTGAACTCTGTGTCATTCCTTGGGCTGTCTAAGCCAACCTATTGGCTTGAGCCATGTAATGGGTTACCGAAGGTAGGACAACTCATTCATTCTTTCAGAAAATATGTGTTGAGTTCCCACCATGCCTGAAGTACAGGGCCAGGAGCAGGAGACAGAGCATGTGCCGATCACCAAGGCCTTGCTATCAAGGGGAGGTAGACAATCGAAGACAAACACACCCATGATTTAAATAATTGCAGACCTTGATGTGTGCCATTAAGGAAATAAAGAGGACAAAGACAGGAAGGAATACTTCTTTAGTGTTCAAAATTTCAGGCACTGTGACAAATCACATAGAAAAGACTTTGGGCAAGAGTGACCTTTCTACTGGACCTGTAAATATACTAGCTTCTTTGTTAAAAAAAAAAATACAGCTCACCTCATCATTCCTAGCCTAGAATCCTTCAGCGTTCCTCTCCTTCTTCAGGATAAAGCACAGACCCTTCAGCATGACTCACAAGCCCTCCAAGGTCGACCTCCTGCGTACCTCCCAGACTCGATGTTGTGTCTTCCTTTCCCTCTACCTCCTGCACACTCAGCTCCAGCCATATTCAAGAAGAACCGCAGGCTGACCTCTCCCCAGGCTGCCTGCTCCCCATTTCCACATTTCATCTGGATCATCCCTGTTTATCTTTTAATACTCAGATCAGAGTTAATCCCCGCCCCCCAGAAGCCTTCCCTCGCTGAGACTCAGTGCTCCTCCTTGGTGATCCCTAAATTTTAGGGGCTGAATGATGTCCCCTAAAAATCCTATATTGAAGTCTTAATGCCCACGTCCTCAGCATATGACTGGATTTGGAGACAGAGCTGTTGAAGTGGTAATTAAGTTAGTGAGGTCATTAGGGTGGACCTTATAAGGAGAGCTAGACTTAGGTCCACTCAGAGAAATGGCCATGGGAAGACACAAGGAAAAGGCCCCATCTGTAAGCTAGGGAGAGAGGCCCAGAAGAAACCCTACTGAGACCTTGATCTAGCCTCCAAAATTGTGAGAAAATGAATTTCTGTTGGTTAAACCACCAGGTCCGTGGTACTTGGTTATTGAAGGCCTTGCCAATTAACACCCTAAGCATCCTGTGTAACCTTCAGCAATACACTTACTTCATGAACCCAGCCTCAATTAACCACATCTTTTATATCTTGGCACCTCTGGTGATGGGCTCAGGGCGGGACCCGTGGTACACTCCATGGGTGTCTGCTGGGTGAATGGAGGGATGCTGAACACGTACTCTTCTCCTGCAGAGGGCGTCTTCCACACAACATCACTTCTGACAACCAGAAAGCAGATTGGAATAGTGTAACCGCGCCAGAAGAAGTGTAGCTCTATCCCAGGAGAGAGAAGAGGAAACCAGTAGTATGATTCCCTCTGCAGCAATCAGCATTTGGAAAAACAGAAGGTGACAGAGGCAGCCCCGAAGCACAGATCCGTGGTACCTCCTAGGTCTTTCAAGCACATTTAATTTTGCACATGGAAAATAATGGCATCATTATTTAATCCAAAATACAATAACAACAATAGATGGCTCATGAGGGTGCACAGGTCCCCTGCAGAGAATTTAATGTGCATGTTGCCTTTACCCACATATACAGCCCAGGCAGTGAGAATGGGGCCCATGCACACTCTTGGCCTGCTAAGACAGACTGCTAAGATGCCCGTGGCTGATACAATAGCAAAAGGGAGAAAACAAAGAAAGCCCAAGGGAATAGCTGCAACTCCACTTAGGACTAATGCACGTCTTCATTTCAGTCCTCGGCAATAATCCAAAGAAATATCTGATACTGCTGAAAGACTGCTGTCATCCCCGGTAGATACTCATCAATTATTATTAAGTATCGCACGGTTCAGGTCAAGATATAATATGTCTGAGAAAAACCATGGCACCTCCTTTTAATCTTGCGTAGAAAACAATTAAAGTATATAAAGCACATTATTAAAATATGTAAAATTTATAATTTAATTATAAGATTGCATAGCTTTATGATCTAATAGTTCTGCTGTATTTTGCATATTAGTGAACAATTGCTTTCTTAAAGCACACAGTAGAATCATTTACTTGATGCTGGAGAATAAGTTAATTATGGATTCCCTGTATATGACTAATGGATTTAATAATCACTTTACTGTAGAATTAACTTATACTTCCCTGTGCTTATAGCACTAATGATGATATTCATAAAAGTTATATTTTTTTAAAAATGTAAGATTGGCACAAAAAGAGAAACCAATGTACAACTTGGTTTTAGAGCCAGCAGTTCTAAGTAGATAGTTCAGAGCCATCAAGGCCCTCTCGGTGCTCTGTAATAAATCACACACACCCTCTCCACCCCCCCGCCAACCCTGCCTCCATTGGCTTTATTAAGGAAATTTATTTTATTTAAGGGAAGACGAAATGCTTGCCAGATGCATTTAGTGAAGCCTCTGATTTTTTAAGCCTCGGTTGTGGGTTACAAAGAGGATTCTTCACTTACATCTACTTCATGGTGCTCCAGGAAGCCCCACGTGTGCCAAGATCACATTGGGATGCCCCAGTCTGTCTGTTTCAGTCCCCTGAAGCCACTCACTTTTCTCCTTCAGTCAGAACAAACAACACGAGTGGAAGGAATAGCAGGAATGTTCTTTGTTTGAGGAGGAGAGTCCCTAGTACCGCCCCTCATATTGTCTTTCCCATCTTTTGCTCTTCTTCTCCATCTTCTCCTCCATCGCCACCATCACCAGTTCTGTCACTGTCATTATCACCATCATCATCATTATCATCACCTCCATCACCATCATCACCATCACCATCACCACCATCACCATCACCACCATCACCATCTGAATTCATTATCATCTGAATTCTTCTTCTTCATGCAATTGAGCAATTTTCTAGCATGGGGTGATATTGGGTGGGTCACTAAACCTCTTCAAACCTGTTTCCATAGCTCTTAAAAGGGAAATCTGTTTTTTTCCCTCTTACTCTGAACAAGCTCATCCACTGTCAAGACCTAAATATAGGCACTGTATTATTATAGTGCTCTTTCCTGTCCCAGGAAGCATCACCTGCCTTTCCATAAAATGCTGTTTCTCCAACAAAGATTTAAAAATCCTGGAAGAAACAAATTAAGGCTTACACTTTGATATATTGTATGGAGTTGTCCACAAAGCATATACTTCCCAAATACATGCTGATGATTTGAATTGAAAGAGTTTAAACTTCTTTTCTATGGAGCTGCCCATAGAACCCAGGTCCTCACAAAGGCTAGGCAAGCTCTCTATCACTGATCCACACCTCCAGCCCCAAAGAGAATACATTCCTAATTCCCTCCTCTGGGACCTGATGGGTTTAGGTGGGAGACCTGTGGCTCCATCTCTGAATTCTTGAATCCTTATCTCCCTATCTCACACTGCTACTAATGGCTCCCAACAGAATGTTTCACCAAGAGGGCAAAGGTCACAGATGGTGATGGTGGGCCTCAAGGAGATGCCCTCTAACCCCAGCAGGGAGCAGATGCCCGGGGCACCATCTCCTTCCCACTGCTGGTTTCTCCAAAT